GTAATCATTGGTAGATGTTTAACCAGCATTACTAAAAAAACCAGATGAGTAACAGAGTCGGTCATGAAAATGAATGTTGTCTGATATATTGAGGAAAACCACCTATTTAAAATATATTTGTTTACATCCTAACTTAAAAAAAAACGTTTACTGAATAAAAGTAAATATTGCAACCATGTACTGCACCACGAAGTTTAGGTTTAGGGGAGAACGAGAGTACCGCACGGAAGAAGGTAGAAGGCGACGAGAAGATAGAGAAGACTCTTGAGCCCATTGCTTGGGCTGGTCCCTTAAGACCGTTTGTCCGCCATTGTTCATTATTCAAAATTTATTTTTATTTTGTATTAAAATGATTGTTCAATCGAATTTGTGATTAGTTTGTGTATCAAGGAGCATTCACAGGTCAGTTGATTAATTATTATTTTGTTTTTGAGAGTTCAATTATTTATAAAAGTATCATTTTTTTCATTTTTATATTTTTTTGTTTATTTATAACTTTTTTCAATAACATGTGCATTGTTCATGTATTTAACAAAAATCGTTTCATGCTGTAAACAACACAGATAAAAACTAAATTAAAACCTAGAAAAATTATGTGCTGTCTTTTTGTGGTGGGATTTTGATTTTTAGATTTAGAGTACATTAGGGCCTTGTTGAATTTACTAACATTTTCCTACCCTGACGAGAGAATATCCTAGCAAATTGAAATAATCAATCTAGAGGTATTGGCTCAAAAACAACTATAGCTGAGTAGCTTTCCGTATGGGACCTCAGCACCTGCTGGGAAACTGGCTAACTAACAAAATAACCCTTCAGTATTGAATATAGGTAGTGTTGATTGAATGTTGTGTGTGTAATTAAAATTTTAGCACAAAAACACAAGACAGTAAAGTTTGTTTCATCAGGGTTTGTACTTGCCACCAGCATTTGCCTTCCTTGTTTAACAAATAGAAATTGACTGAAACAAATCAATGATGTCAAAAACGTTCGTCGGTTCTTAAACCAAACGTCATTCATTTTAATTTGTCAAAAAAATTGAATGTGTCATATGAATTAATCAACGATAACCCTTTTTTTAAAAGTTTCAAGGTCAAGTATGAACCCTGGTGAAATGAACTTTACCTAATTTAACTATCATTGACTTAAATTATTGACTCACAATTATTATTAGAATTACACAGTATATTTCGATTTTTGAGGAATGTTAGATCGAGGTTTTCTCTGCCGTGCTCTTACCTCTCGTTAATTCCAGGATGAGAACGTTACGTTTTTCTTTTAATGATACAGAAGACGTTTCACAAATTTTTCGTTTCTTTTACATATCACAGTTTCCCTTAAATTTCCCAAATAGTTGCTATGTCGGGCGCATGTCCAGTAAGTCAAATTGAGTAAGTTTCCACAAAGTAGGTCCAATTTGTTTTTCATTTCGTTTTTCAGAAGATTTGTTGTTTAAAAGGTAAACAAAATTCTCACCGTTCAATCTTACTGAACGAACCCGGGTATGTTAAACTACAATATTCTGACGAGACACTGTCTCACGATGTATTGTTAAAAATAACCTACGATTAGATAGTATTGTCTAAATATAGACGATATTATCGAATCGTGGGTTCGGAACCCGGGCCCTATACCGACTGATTACGATGTTGAGCACCACAAAACTCCTTGATGACTGTCTTAGCTTCGGAAGAAATCAACATCTTCATTAGGAAAAACCAGAGGCATTATTGAACGAGAAATATTCATTCTCTTGAATCACATGAGAATAGCAAACCAAGAGGCGTCATCCTTTTTCTGCCAGTATTCCCATAGAATAGGTTTCTACTATTACCCTTTGGATATTAGGTAACCCGTAGAATCGTTCATCCGAGGACTTGATAATAGACGTGTGGTTACTTAGAAGTTCTGTATTAGATTCATTGTCAAAAGATGTTTTGCATTACCAACTGGGTCAGTGTGACCTGCGTATTGAACACATTAATATAGTATTCGTTTAGCAATTACAGTAAATAATTACCATATAAGATTTGCGCTATATGGGCACTTCAATATAATCGATGTATAAAGTAAAGCTATAGAGATATTTGCAGCCGTTGGAAGAAAAAACCATTAATACATGACGCACGACTCGCTCCATCATTGAGTATGATCAGGTTCTTTGAAAGATTAACGAGAAAAAAGACCGAATTGGGTGATTTACATTCAATACGCATTCTTTCCGTGGATGCCAGCATATATAGATGTACTTTAAGCAAAGATCAGGGATGAAAACCACTAAGTGCTGTTGCAAATGAAACTTCTCACGATACGTTATAGCATAGGACAGGAAGCGCACCAAAAAGATATTTGGGTCAGCCCAAAATGACAACTGTCCATATGGACTGATAGGTCCACTTAAAAGCTGAAACAACATTATAGGCAGCATACAGCTCATAGCGTTCAAAGAGTCTTAAGGAGATTAGAAGGTAATCCAATCAGTAGAAGGTCTTGAAGGTACTAAACTCTAAACCGAGGGATAAATAGATAGATATAAATATAAATAGTCGAGAAGTGGTATCGCTGCCTGGACGCCACCACGTATATAGAACAAATATCATGGCATGAAATCTATTCAACAATGGCTGCTCCTGAACCACAGAGTTTATAAACCCAGTGTGAGTGCAGTAGATTAATGCTGGATCTTGTGTGTTCATTACTCAGGAATGTGCTTCATTTACGAAAAAGACAAAACGGAAGATGACGAGTATGAAAATAATTTAAGTACTATAGCAATATGAATGAAGACAAAGCTGCCTTATCAGTGAAGTCAGGTGATAAAAACTATAATAAAAACATACTTTACTATTCCATCGACTAACTGAAACTTGATATTATTCAGAATGACACGAAATTTGGATAAAAAGACATGGAATTGGCCACATCACTATAAAAAAGCCAAAATTATAGGAAAAATTCAAAAATCAGCGAAACCGAGTAGGCAAGTCTACATGCTCCTGAAATATTACTCTCTTGGGTGTTGGAAAGTGAACTTGGGCTTACAATATGAGGCCCCATACATATTAATGTATGCATACCAATTTTTATCTCTACCGGTTCGATTATAACTGGTTTATATATTTTATTAGTAAATGCTGAAAAAAAGTAGTATCTATACTAGTGAGCCATATGGTACCATAAACCAACTTTTAAGCATGCGTTATGTTGCAGGTTGGCGCCGGGCGTTGCGCCAGGTTAAGGTTCGCATCCCAACATTGGAAGAATAAAAATCGTGAAATGACAAATTTATGGACAAAATTCTTGTTTTTGAGTGTTACGTGAAACCGAACTTCGAATGAAACTCAAACACGCCTCAACCTTCAAGTTCATGAATCTCGCTCTATGTTCGCTTTATTTTCATGCTATAGGATTTGTTGTCGGCGCCACTGCAAAATATTACGGTTCCAAATCCATCCACAACCTCCATGGCCAATTAATAATGAAATTTGGGAATGTGCAGGTGAAATGTTCGTCTGTGGGCGGTTATAAATTTAAAATATTGGTTTACTCTGTAGGAACAGCATGCGTTTTTTTTTTCCTGCCGTTGGTTGTGTCTGTCGTGCCGAATCGAAATAAAGGGCGCGCTTTGCTTTGCTCTGTTTATGAATTTAATTGCACTGTTATTGCATGCAATTATTAATACGCTCTCTCTGTCTCTCTTGTTTGTGCATGTGTATGTATCGAAATATTCCAGTTGTTATTCAATTAGAGTGCGGCAGAGGCTTTATTGATTTTTTTTTTGTTGCAGAATAACCTTTTTAATTCCTCAAACCAATGTAATTTTAGGGCTTCAGCTCATCAAGCAAAAAAAAATTGAAAAGCTTCATCGATTCTCGTATATAGGTATAGAAACCTGGAATAATGTCCGTGCTTTCCGCAAAGACTGCGGACATTTTTATTGAGACCGTGTCCTATAAAACGACCGACAAAACATTCAAAGCCGGATACGGCCGAAACGTCCGTTCCGGTAGGGAAACAACGGAAGTTTTCGCTTTTTATATGCACGCCGATGTAAAACTCTCTGGACAAATTCCAATTTTTTTTGTCACGAAAGAATATCCGGGTTCTGAGATAAAACAACAAATAAATATTTAATCGTCATTTATCACACAAAGGCCTCCCGTATAATTTCGAGTTTAATCACCATCATAACTGCTACACAGTTCTTAAAATATTACCGAATCACCGCAGATATATGGAAATTATGACAAAACAGATAGCGGTTGTTATAGCTAATTTATTTCCCAGAGACTCGGGCTCTTATCTGACCGCGGGCATCGCTACAGCAACAGCTGGATCTGATATATACGATATTTAGGGTTATCAATCAGTTTAATCTTACTGAGTGTTGTCAGTTCTCAGTCTGCTTACGTCTATATGTTTCTGGTAGAAATTTCATATATTTATTACAATATCTATTCAAAATTTATCTGATAACTCTTCACCTGATTCATCCTGAAATATAATACCAACATCACAGAGGGGCGCAAGTCCTAAATCCTGACCACCCCATCCTAAATGCATATTACGCGTTATCAAACTAACGAGCAAAATAATATGCTTGTTAGCATTCATTATTTGCACGAGGGGTTAGAGACTTGCTAGACTCACTGCATCATCATCACAATAAAGGTTTCTGAGTCTTATAATCCCATTGTTTCTGTTGTTAGTCGCAGACGTGCCCCTGCGCCTCGTTTCGAAAGTTTTGCTCGTTTCGGCATTTAATTAATCCCTAGTTGCGATTTAAAACGATGTTTATCCAGATTTAAATACAGAATTCAATTGGATATTTTTTCCTCTTTATGCATGTATTTAGAATAGGATAGCTATCTTTATATAATTTTCATTACCATATCTCAAAAATTAGAACGCTCGAAGCGTAAATAGCAAAGTTTTTATCGATTTTCCTTGCTGGCTCAACATACACATAATATCGGGAAGCTTGATATATAAATAAGACTTACCAAATATATTCCAACGACAAACTGATCATTTCCTGAGGATTGAAAATAGTCCTTTCCGTATCTTCACCGCGCTCCTCTGGCGAAACTCGCGCAGCTATATGAGGATAATCTTTATAGGACTTTTTTCGTCTAAACATTTCTCTGAAGAACAGTTCCGGCACAAGCTTGTAAACGATGTCTTGCAGCGTTTTGTCCAACCTAAAAAATGGAAATTCATTAGATTCAAAACTTTTCGAAAGTTCCCAGAATAGCACTCCATCTGGGGGGATTAAATTTCCTTTTACACGACTGAAGTGATACTTGAAAATATCAAGCAGGCAGAGGAATGAATTTGTATAATTTAGGGAGTAAAGAAAACTCAGGAGAAGGGGTTGTCATCATTAAACAACTCGGAATTATAATTAGTTTCCAAACAAGTTCTTAACAGTTGAAGCTAGAGAGGCATTTTTCCGTTTAAATTTCATCTCAAGGTATGATAACTTTCAGATGAGAAAATTATAAAATAATAGTTGAGTAGGGTTTCAAATCAGGTTAAAATCCAAGAAGTTTGATAATAATGATAATACATATATGATTCCAACACAATGTTTTCAAAAAACAGCATTAACTATTCCAAGAACCTGCCACCAAAGTCGTCTCCCTGACACGCTAAAAAACAAGAATGGGACATTTATTAGATAATTTGATTGCACTCTTTTTTAATATGTCATGAGATATCTATGTGAATACACATGACTATAATAGCTTTGTTTCAACACAGCGAAACACCGAACAATGTACCGTCACGATTCTGCGCAAAGTCTAAAATTTGTGAATCCGTATATTCAGAGTGGTTCCAAAACCGTTCATGGGACGGTTTTTGAGAGAATCGGAACAGCCTAATGTATCGGCTATAAGGGATATTTCAATCCATTTATTCTGGCACTTGTTTATCGCTATATTTTACCTATTATTTAAGAACATGCAATGTTTTCAAATACCTAATAGCCCTTGTAGTCACACCGCAGATGTAGCAGTAGCCATAGACCAAAATTCTTGATAGGTATGTTTGTTGGTTTGAAAATACTCTATACATAGTTACATCTAATATCCTACTAGAATGTTGATGGAGCGGATAAAGTCATGAATTCTACTGGCTTCGAGTTGAGGCAATCAGAAGGTTTCTTACATTAGATAACCATAGGTACTATTGAAAAATGCGAATTAAATGGGCTATTCCAAAAGACTGAAATTGGCCTCAAATTTCACATTCGCCACCACACAGGGGGCTAAATCGAGCTCCTACCTCATCATTTACCTCCGTTGCACGATTAATTTGAAAATGTCAACCCACAGGGACCCCCTAATCCGCCTGCTCGGTTCCCCGTTTTACGTAGAGGGAACGCGGCGCTAACGAAATACACAATTTCGTTTGCCCGTCGCGTCAAAGTAAAAGCGAAATCCAAATCCCCCACGTGGAACAGCTTAGGGCTAGGAGCTTTTGATGCCGCCGCATTCCGAGGAAGCTTTTGTTATACTCCCAACTCCCAGCTAGCCTGGAGCATGCGCTCAGTGTAGTTATCAATAGTGTTTTTGGCGCGACGAGACGTGGTGGGTAGATGGGTGAATGTTTGGGTACTTTGAAGGCTTTATCTTGTTTTATGGATTTTTGATACGAAAAAAAAGGAAAACATTTAAAGGCCCAATCATTAAGTACTTGATTTTGTTCTCATTTCTGTCTTATACATGGATGTCCATATACATACGTAGGCGACTGCCTTTTCTAGCCTTTCATGCCCATTCGGACGTAGATGTCTAACATTTTTGTCAGCGTTCCGGTGGTTTACCCCGAGTTCTTTTTTTCCGGCGGGATGTGGTTGTTTGACATTGGGTTTTGCAAGTCTCTTGTTATCTATTCTGTTCGTGTGTTTATCTCATTATTTTCTTCTAACAATCTTAGTATGTCTTGGTATTTTAGGTCGTCACTTTAAAGCATGTCTTGTAATGTTATTTCATCGATCGTAATTATTTCTAATTCAAATCAACACAGAGCATATAACCTTTGGGAACGACAACAAACCGCTCAAAACCACACAGAATTTATAGAAGCCAGAAATAGTTGCAAAATTACTATTGACTCCGCTAAAGAAACATACAATCAAAGAATAAAAAACAGGTTGCTGAATTGTCCAAGTAGTTCTAGTCTAGGTCCTTTTGGTCTCTTGCAAAAGTTGTTGGATCTAACTTCACCAAGTCATCCATACCACCACTTACAGATAAAAATAATCACTTAGCCACAACATCAGAGGAAAAAGCCAATATGCTGGCCCAAATGTTTTCCTCCAACTCCAACCTAACAGTGCCAAACGGAAAAACTCCACCGTTCATTGAAAGGGTTTCCCATAGTATGCCAGAGGTACCCTTTTGTCACAGAGAAATACGAAAATCCCTTAAAAAGCTAGATACAAACAAAGCAATGGGTCCGGATGGCATTCCCGCAATAGTACTCAAAAATTGCGCCAACGAACTCACCCCAACTTTCGCAAAATTATTCAATTTGTCTTACAGGCAAGGAGTATATCCATCATCATGAAAGTCTGTCGCAGTACAACCCATTCCAAAGAAAGGAAAAAAGACAGATCCGTTAAACTATAGACCAATTGCTCTACTTCCGGTGATATCAAAAGTAATGGAAAGAGTTGTGAACAATCACCTAACCAAGTACTTGGAAAAGTACAAAATTATCAACGATAAGCAATACGGATTTCGAAAATATAGGTCAACTGGCGATTTACTTACATACGTCACTCACTTATGGCAAAAAGCGATTGAGTTGCGGGGTGAAACAAGAACAATTGCCTTAGATATATCTAAAGCATTCGACAAAGTTTGGCATGAAAATCTGCTCAACAAGCTCAAAGCAATGGGATTATCGCCGAAACTTTGCAGTTGGTTTGAAAGTTACCTAAAGGACAGATCCATTTATGTTGCACTGGATGGCCAGAACTCCAACTCTTACCAAATAAATGCTGGTATGCCACAGGGAGCAATCCTTTCGCCAACTCTTTTTCTGATTTACATAAATGACCTCATAGATAAAACAGTAAATCCACTTTATTGCTTTGCAGACGATGGCAATGTAGTCTCCTCACTCATACCACCCACAGGTCTTTCCGCACGGGAATTCCATCATCTTAGACTAACTCAAATATCGCAGATAAATAACGACCTGAAGATAATAGAGGACTGGGGTAACAAAAACTTGTACAGTTCAACGCGCAGAAAACCCAAGCAGCTCTGTTTTCAAAAAAGACCAGCACCGGTGAGCCAAACATCATGCTATCTGGAAGTTCTGTCACATTACAAAGTCAGTTGAACATCTTGGGGGTTACTGCAGAGACCAACATGTCTTGGCACAGTCACGTGGCAGATATTGCTAAAAGGGCGTCTCAAAATCTGGGGGTGCTATTTCGTACAAGACATCTGTACACACCAAGCCAATTGCTGACACTCTACAAAGCCCAGATTCGACCAACTATGGAGTACTGCTCACATATATGGAGTGCAGCACCCAAACATACCTTAATACTTTTGAACACCGTGCAAAAACGAGCTATCAAGCTGATCAATGACCCCGCACTTACTCGTAACTTGGATGGTCTCGAACATCGCAGATCTGTGGGCGATTTATCTCTCTTCTACAGTTACTATCACGGAAAATGCTCTGAAGAGTTGGCACGTATGATTCCACCGAGAGTAGCGCCTACCAGGCGAACCCGTCAAACAGACGGTAACCATGAATTTACTGTCAAACTAGAGGCACCAAGAACCTCATTATATCAGAATTCATATCTCTGGAGAACAGCATCGCTGTGGAATAAACTCCCTGCGATGGTTTTCCCTGCAGGTTACAACCTGAACTGTTTCAAGACCAACATACACCGACATTTCCGCGCACTTGCCGCTTCTCGAGCGTGATAGGACATTTCCTTGCGAGTGCGCATATCCGTAAAATGGCATCAAGTGCTGTGTCTTAGGTCTAGGTCCAATTATACTATATACTACTCTATATACTACCAACTATAAACAAGGCCGGCGCCTCGATTTTAACTGACTTCCCGACGAGTAAGACGAGGGGGTGTCAAAAGTTTGACTTTTTCAGATATTGGATTCCCAAACAGATATTCTAGATGCTTCCATCGTTTCTGTCCCCAGATTTCTTTTGGTAGATTTTCAAAGCTGACTTATTCCAGATTCTACATATTTAAGAGATTAGAGTGATTTACTCAATCAACAATAATATCAATCTTCTGTTGTCGGTTCTTTGGATGTACTAGACATTGAATTGAGGAAAGGAGTCATGTAGAGGTCATACTCAGCAACAAGTAAGTACCAAATTGTTTGGACGTGAATGTTTCCCATTTTGTAGCCTGCTATTTTAGTTAGATTTTCCACTATTTTGTGTTCATCATCTTGAATACGAGTTCTGTGCAAATTGAAACAAAGGTGGTCCTTGGGAAACATCATAATTTTAAGATCTACTGTAGTTAAATACAAAGTGTGTGGATTTCATTATTTTCTACTATGTCTTGCATCTTAGTTTTTTGTTGAAGGTACTGACTTTAAAGCATGTCTTTTGTAATGTTATTCCATGAATCGTATTTGCTTCAAATTTCAATCATTGGCATGATTTGCTGTGTCTTAGGGCTGGGTCCAATTATTGCTATCGTACCTACATATTTTTATCTCACTATCTGGAGATATTGGTTCCACTACAAGATGTTTCTTGAGCAAAGATTCGAAATGCTTCCACCGTTCTCAGACTTTTTCTTCCAGTAGATTTCCAAAGCTTGTTATTTCAGCTTCTTTATACTGAAAAAATTAAGTAACTCAACAATCATATTAATTTTCAATTTGCATCTTGTGGGCTCTTTGAATGTATACTAGATACTAAGTATAAAGGAGTGGAGGAAAGTCTGTAAATCTTCTTCAGAGTCAGCAATTATTTGGATGTGAGTATTTCCCATTTTATTGTTTGCTGTTTTAGGTAGATTTTCCACTTTCTTGTGTTTATCATGTCGAATATGAGTGTGCTTAGTGAATCGTTTGCCTTATACCTGTGCGAATTGATACAAAAGAGGTCTTTGGGAACAGAAAGTTTTGAAAGCATCAAGCATCAAAATTTTGAGATTTACGGTATTTATTTAAAGTGACGTAGG